TTCAGTTCTAACAAAAACAATCTCATTTCCCATCTCTGTGGAGTCAGAGTAGACTCTCACGTGATGGTGCTGGGTCAATAACTCTTCGTTCCTAACCTTGATTGAAAGAGGACAGGCCTCTTTCAGTAATGCTTTAGGTGCTTTACGGTGTTTGAGATGAGGAGTCAAAAGGAATCAACTTCGTTTTTAACTCCTGAGTCTGCAAGAACCTCCTGTAAAACCTAGGATCTACCCAGAGTCCTCCCATGAGCTGAGGCTGCCATTTCAGCAGCTTGATCCTTCTGTTTCTCCTATGAGGACAGTGCTAGAGAGGATGTGAGAGAGAAGTGAGAAAAGGACTCATGAGTTGCCCACCTCAGAGTCTCTCCACTTCCTGTGGAGATAAGGCATCACCAGCCGGGCTGAAGTGAAATAAGGTGATGTCCTCTTTGAGTTCATACAATAGTTCCCTGCCCCTTCTCCTCCACTCACTTAATGCCATAATGAATTGAAGGATCATCACAATTCCTGATGATAATTAGACATTCCATAAAGTTTAAATCCCCTTTTTTCTGGTCCACTGCTTTTCTTTTTGCAGTAGTGTAGTTTGGGAGGACTGAAGTAAGTTCTAGTAATGAGGACCCCAAGGTGTTTGGAATGGTGGGGTGATTGTCCCAAGATCAGACACTAACACCATACCATCTAGCTTCTTAATGTGGCATCATACTACTACTAGGAATCTTGCAATACTGTGGTACACCCTTGCTTCTCAAGTTCTGTGCCTTGCTGTGGGTTACCTTACACTTGCTTCCTGGTAGTGCTCAAGTGTCAGTCCTTTGCACCTATCTGCTCTTAAGACATTGTCTTCTGTGTAGTAAGGTTTCCCAACACATAAAAATGTAGAGTTACGAAATTACCTAGCTCTGTAGTTTCAAACGCATTTTAGGAGCAAACTACTATCTTCCAGAAGACACCTTTTCTGGAAATTTAGAATCTGTTGTGTGCATCGTTATGTCTCTGCATCTCTGTATCTACCTGTCTATCTAATCTTTTTTGGCGATAAGAGATGTAGTCATCTTTGGGTGAATGACATAGTACAGGAAAGGATTTTGCCCGGAGAATCAGTATATCAAGGCAGTGCCCTGCTGAAACACTGTCGGGAGACCTGGATTTAGAGACAGGCAGTATCTTGTTGCAAGATGGGGAATGATGGAGTAGAGACGGGTTTTTCTTCATTCTTGATACAATACTGGTCTAGGACAGTACCTTACATTAAGAAATGCAAGACGAGAAATCAAAGGTCCAGGAAAATGGGTGTCTTTTCTCAGGCCCCCCCAGTAAAGACAGAATCTTTGGGTCCAGGTCTTCTTACTCTTTGGCTTGTGCCCTTTCCCTGAATCAGGTCACCTGTCCTTTGTTCCTTTGCTTTCCTAGCGGCATCTGGGGTAGGGCCTGGCAGTGCCGTACACACAGTGCTTGACTTGGATGATTGAGCTATGGTAGGGAGAGGGTGCCAGGCCCATGGTTTGGTCTCAGGAGCATGCTCTGTCTCACTGTCAGCACAACCAGCAGTTTATCTCCTGGGTTAATTTTTCTGGGTAATATTATGCTCTGGAGATGAAGCCATGCCCATGTGAGTGCTTGGGGGACTCCCAAGAGGGTTCACATTCATGAGGAGGAAGGGAATTCTTGGGGATTATGTCTCAGGAAACTCTTGAGCACTGAGAACCACTTTGGGGAGAGAAGAAAAATCTACAAGCATCAAAAGACAGGTAGGGCCAAGAAAAATGATTAAAACTAGTCTGTCCCTTATAGGTGCTTGAGGACATGTTCTCATTTAACCATTACAGACCCAGGAATATAGGCACCAGGGCTGCCTTAAACATCTGAGCAAGCTGAGGCTGCAAGACATGGCTTGTGAGCCCCAAATCTCTGTGTACTGTCTCACTAAGATTGACAGCCATACACCAAAGTTTGTGGCTGTACAAGAAGTAGAAGCTGGGTACTTGGTGGAATTCTAGCCAGCTCCTTCCTGCCTGGCATGACATGTGGGACAGACAGCAGGAGTAGGGAAGAGAAGAGAAAGTGAAGAAAAAACTTTTGTGACCACTAGTCTAATCCGAGTGGATAAGGTCTCTCCTTTGTGCTCTTCTGTGCTATTCCACGCACACCTGCTGCTTGCTGGAGAATGTGGCTCTCTAAGTATAGGGATCCCTTTCAGACAGAAGGGCATTCGTTGGGGAAGGCTTAGTCTCTGGGACAGGTACTGCACTAGATGCTTTTCTAGGATTCTCATTCTACTGGTAAGGGGATGGGATGGTAAGGGAAGAGGAGTTAAAGGACCATCCCAAGGCGCATTCGGAGTAAGAGAATTTATGATGCTTAGAAGAGCTGGGCAATATGATGTCTGCCTAGATGATCTGGCAGTTCCAGAAGCCTTGACCAGCTTTCCTGGGCACAGCAATCTGCCAGGCTCTGAACCTAGAGCGAAGCCTCATTAGCATTCAGAGGGGGAAGTAACCATGAGGGACACATCCACAGCATTAGGAAGAGACAGACTGTGTTTTAATTATGACCTAGACTTCTGAACAAATCCTTTTCTCTGCTTGTCTGAGCCTTAGAGAAAACAACTTGTGGGAGGTGTGCAATCTGCAGCTGGGTCCACAGTGGCACTCAGTACAGCTGTGTACACATCTGGTACCCAGGTGGTGGACTATATGCTCTTTTTCTCCTTGAATTGCTCTGGGGTTCTAAGAGCCAAGTTAGTAAGGTGAGGAAGACCAGGTTTGGACCCAGCGCAGAAACCTAAGGAGACTGGAAAACAAAAAGCACCACTCTCTTCTGGTCTGTGATCCTCAGTGACCATGAACACGACAAGATCGGAGCCCAGACAACTGTGGGAACTTCCCTTGGCTGCTCCTGATCAACATGGCAGGTCTTCATTGCTGAGCTCACTCCAGCCCTTCCTTCTTTTACTTGGGGCACACTTCTGGAGTAGGGGATGAAATAAAATGGGAAGGAAAGGAGGAGGAGATTAACAGGGTAGAAGTTAGAAAGGCCAAGTACACATGCTACCACCTGCCACTGCAGAGTCTCAAGTGCTTGTTGACTCCTTGTGAGCACTTGCCTTGAGTCTGTTTAACAGTCCATTCCAGGGGACGAGGAGGAGAAGTGGGCTCGGGGACAAAGAGCCTTTGACCAGCTCCTGGAAAAGCTGTGATTCGTTTGCTCAGGTTGGCAAACAGTGGCTGGGGGACTTGGGACTCAGGGATGTGCTGGGTAGACTTTCTATAAAATGGATGTCGTCCAGCAAGGAGGGAGGGAGGAAAGGCAAAGATTTGAGAGACTAGAGTTAGTGTAGAAGTTCAGGAAAGAGAAAATCCAGACTGAGTAGCTGGAAAAAGGACAGAGAAGGGTCTGTTGGTACCTTTCATTCTGGTTTAGGGGCTCTCGTATAGCTTGTTGGTAGTGAAATGGCCTATAACAGCCATTGGACTGTCCCCCAACTTTGCCCCCTTTCTGAGGTTGAGGGCAGATGGGGGGTGTATTAAGATAGGTGTTTCTAAGGTGCTCCTGATGGCCAAGAATAGAGGGATATGTATAGTGATTCAAAGCATGGGTTGAAGATCAGATAGCACACCCACTTCCAATCGTTCAGACTGGCCTCTGTCCTGGGAGGAAGCTGTTTGTGGGCAGCTGGTTGGTTTATAGATGACTTCATTTCCGTCTCTAAGCCTGAACTTGAATGGTCCCTCTCTGTTTTTGCCTCCGTCTCTGTGTATGTGTCTCTTTGTGAGCATCTCATTAGCTTCTCTTCGCTTCACCATCTCAAAATGCTTCCCTTTTCCAGGAAGCTGCCAAGATAAACATATTGTGCATAAATGTTGACTTTGAATCAAACTGGTACCATTTCATGGTTGAGAATTGATTAAATATCATAGTTCCCATATATACTACTGCTACATGTTATTTTATATTTATGGGACATTGCTTTGAATTGTGCTTATATTCTGTTTCCTAACGACAAATCCCTAAGGGTAGGTATGAGCTATTTGTTCTTTTATGTGTGTTTGTTTCTTTAATGTTCTTTCATAAGTATGTGAGGGTGGGTGGATGGGAATGAATTTTGTCTTGTATTCTCGTATGCTTACATTGATGCCTGACACATAACAGATAATATATACTTGACTACAAGAATGCCACTGGGGTGATAGATACTTTTTCAGTCTCCATAGTAAGGCACAGAACGGATGGTGTGCTACAAGGTACACAATGGGTATGTCTGTATAAATGAAAGAAGAATAAATAAGTGTATGAGTGAGTTTTTGAGGTGAGCTTGGCCCAATTTAGGCCATCACAGTAGTTGGCCTGTGGTAGGAAAATGTTTCTTGATACTCATAGTTGCTTAGATCTGTAAAAGTGGGCCTTACTAGCTGATCTCGCTGGTACCTGCTCCCTAAATATACTTTGGGTTAGTGTATTTCTTCCTTTTAAAGAGGGGAATGGTGTATAGCTTTATGTCTTTGCTCTGGCCAGTCTATTCCTACTTGCTATTCTCTCCCTTACCATCTGACCTTTCTACTTCTATTATCTCTGGTATGTGGAGAGAATCAGAAAGTGATTTTGAGTGAGTTCACACACACACACACACACACATTGTACTGCTACTTTTAAAAAGGAAACATCTATTTATTTAAGAGACTGTAAAATGAATTTATAGTTCAGGAATCCCAGAGATATTTGAAGGCATATTATATTCAGGCATATGTTTGAGTTTTTACAAAAGAAATTATTGTGTCATCAGGCTATTAAAAACAAAAACATTGTCTTTGTAACTTTTAGTTTTGCTACAGGCCATCCTGGACTTTATTGATTGGGTATGACTAGGAGGAGATTAAACAACCTGAGTTCCAGCATCTTTGTCCTGAGTCTGGACAATCCTTTTGCTGTTGAGCTGAGGGGAGACTCAGACTCAAGCCTGACCTTCCTCACAGTGTCCTCCCTTTCTCTGCTCCTGCCAGGCTCTTTGCTGTCAAATGTGGAGGCTGCTTTGAGGTCATCGCACCCAATGAGTTTGTTATGCGTGCTCAGAAGAGTGTCTACCACCTGAGCTGCTTCTGCTGCTGTGTTTGTGAGCGACAGCTTCAAAAGGGTGATGAATTTGTCCTGAAGGAGGGGCAGCTGCTCTGCAAAGGGGATTATGAAAAGGAACGGGAGCTTCTCAGCCTGGTGAGCCCAGCAGCTTCTGACTCGGGTGAGTACCAGGAGGTGGGCAGCACCGTAGTGGAATGGTAGAGCAGAGTGGTCATCTGTATGGCTTTGTTCTCTGGAGGGCCAGCTGCCTAGGCAGCTTTTACTCCATGAGAAGTTGATTGTATTTCAGGAACTTTGTTTTAAAGTTCAGAGTCATCTGTTAACAGTCAGCTATTTCTATGCTGCTGCTGCATAACAAATCACCCTGAATTCCAGGGCATCCAACCATGAACAAAAATACATTCACAAATCTTCAGATGAGTTTAGCTTCAGGCTTAGACCAGGTCCAGGTTTCTTCTGTGTGATTTTTTTCTAGAGTACTGGGCATAATCTCCTGGTAGTGGCAGAATAAAAGAAGGAATATTCTATCACACAAGCACACTGTACGTTTTGTCTGCTAATATCCCATGATAAAAATGTATTACAAAGTCTCAGGTTTGGGAAAAATACTCCACTCAGCACAGAGTCTTGCCACATTGTACACGATGTGTCACTATGGAATACTATTAAAGGGATGATGAATTGGAGTCAGTAATTGAGTCTGTGATGATCATTGAATTTCTCCAAAGCTTTGTGGGTCACATAAAGGGGTAAAATGAATTTGTCCTTCCTCCTCGTATATCCAGCCCTCACCTCACACTGACCGGAGAAGAAGGAAGAAAGAAATAGGGGATGTTTGAATTTTTTTAAGTGAATATGCTGATATTGGGGCTGGAATCCAGGAGCTTTTTAGCCTTTTCATTCAAGGTTAGCATTCTGCCGCTTGAGCAACAGTTCAGACTTCTGGCTTTTTGGTGGTGAATTGGAGATGAATCTCATAGCCTGGGCATGGCTTCGAAGCATGATTGATCTTCAGATCTCAGCCTGCTGAATAGCTGGGATTACAGATGTAGGTCACTGGAACCTGGCTCTTGGTTTGAAAATTGTACAGAACAGACTTTGTAGGGTCTAAGAAATGAATAAACATAGGAATGTCATTCCAGAGTATTAGTTCCCACAGGACAGTGTTTGTCTTTACCCATGAATCTTTTGAGATCCGGTAAGGTGATATTCATGTAATTTTGCTTTTTGTTGTTGTTGTTGTTGGTATTTTGGTTTGGTATTTGCGATTGCAATTCCAACTCCCCAGCTTGTGTTTTGGCTTTTGGTAACCTCACTCTGGGATGCTAGGCTCTTCCATCTCTGTGCTTCAGCTGCTGTCAGTGTCTGTCACTCCTGGCCAAATGAAGGGAATCTTCACTCCTAGTCTTGCCCTCTAACTCTTCCATCTTTCTAGCATGTTCTGTATGCTCTAGACTCCACTGCACCAGGGAAGACCTTGAGGCCCTGTGCTGGATGAGCTTACCCCTCCACTTCTCCCATTTGATTGTTGTTGCTTGCAATTGTTTGCCTTTCTTGCCAGGAACTAAGCTCCTTGAGAGACAGTATGTGTTTTCTTTATCTCTTTGTCCCCTGGCACCTAATGTAGGCATGGACCATAGAGGTTTACATAGACTTTTTGTTACAGAATAAATAAACCCATGGAACAGAGCTTAAGTGCCAGAGGGTTGGAGATCAGCAGCTGGGGTGCCTTGTCCTAGCTGCAACATGTATCTCTGGGACCTGAAAAATGTGTCTAAACTCTAAGCCTCCATTTCCACAATTGCAAAATGGTGACAGTCACATTGACCTAAATGGGTTCTTCTTTGGGGAATAAACGAAATAATCATACCCAAAGCCTAGTGTTCAGCTAAGAGCTGCTGGTTGGGTCTTCCCTGTAGTGAGAGTTTTTGCAGTTTCATTTTTTACTTTTGTTTGACTCCTTGCTGACTCTTGCTTGACTGTGCTTATAGCTTTTAAGGGAGCTCTCACCCTGGTCAACTCTTACTGGGATTTGTGTCTCAAGTTTTCCTAGATTTTTTTTAATTTGAGGAAAATTTTTCTTTGTCTGGAACACAGGCTCTGACATATTCAAGTATTTCCTGAGGGTAGTTAGGCCCATGGAGCATCCTGGTGTCTAGTTGGTATAAGGCCAGCTCACCCTGTGGTTTCCCATCAGGTGTCATGTAGTAACTTCCCATCCATAGCCCCTCCTCTCTGCAGAGCAATGCAAAAGCTTCAGATTTTCAAAAGTCTCTCTGCATGGTGGACAGAACACCAGTGTGACTTTAGAAAGATAGGCATGCCCAGAGGGACATAACATTCTCTCCCATGTAGAAATAAACACTATAGTCTAGCCTTTCCTCATATACAGCCGGTTGTATGGGTATTGATCACTCAGTGACCTAGTTGCCCCGTTTTAAAAGTTTACAGATTTTAAGTTAAAATCTGAATGGGACATTGTTCCCTCCCCCCCCCCCACACACACACACACATACAAAAAGAAGGCACAAAGAAGACATTGGATCTTAGCACATATTATTAGTAGAATTATACTGTTCAGAGCAAGGGAACTGTGCTAGGTCTTGTCTGAACACATTTTCAGCAGTATGTTTGGTTGTGAACATTTCTCTTTGAGGCTGATATCAATAAACTGGAGCTTTCCAGATCATTGATTTGTATAGCATTCAGCATGCGTAACTTGAATGTGAGCTCTGTACCAGCCATAGAGTCAAAATATGACTAACAAGAATGGCAAAGGGGTAGGGAGATTGCAAATTGTGTCTAATGAAGAAATTGTAGCTGTGTAGGCTAGGAAAGTAAAGACTAAATGAGGATATACCAGTTGCCTTTAAATAGAACAGACCAGCATTTTGTCTTACTTCACAGAGAGAAATAGAATTCATTCACTCAGTTACCTAACAAAACCTTGGATACTTGCATCGTAAATAGAAAAGTACTAGGAAGTAGTTTTCAACTCAACAAAGGGAATGTGTTGGAATGTCATTTTAATGGTTAGATCCAACAAAGAGTAAACTTACCCAAGGAAAAGACCTTCCATGTGTTGAGATTAATATCGGCAGGTAAAAAGGAGGGTGGTTCCAGGAGGACTCCTGTTGTCTCTGCTCTAAAACTCCATGGTTCATTTTTGCAACATTATATGTAATGACATTAACATCTCAACCTGATTAAAATTGTATTACTCATTTGTCACATATATAAATGCTGCCTTTCTTGCATTATAAATGGTTTGTGTGCTTGCCTCACTAATGAACGGAAAAACGTCCAAGGAACAGAGTTGGGCTTTAAATCCTTTGTTTCCTTAACATAGGTTCTTAATATGATACTAAGAAGATCAAGTGATCAAGAAGTGGCTAATGGGTGGAATTAAGTCCTGAAGGAAAGACATTTACCTCTGACTAGGACTTTATAGAAAGCAGACAAGTAACTATAGCATACATCCCAGCATAAATGTAATTGTTCCTTTGGTTTCTGTCTGGAGTGCCCTACACATTGTAGCTGCTTGATAAATATCTGTTGACTGGATTGCTGACTGCCATCATCTATAATATTATCAGTGACTTAGATGAAGACCCAGAAGGCAGATGACATAAACTGGACAGGGCATACTGGTTCAGCAGCTAATAATCTCCCTAATCAGGACGGTTTTGGTAAACAAACAGAACACTGGTAAGCTGAAATGTAACTAAACATCAGGCTCCCAAATTCAACTATGGTTATATGAAATGAGTCCTGTTGCATGGAATTACACGTAGGGTTGTTAAGTGATGCTAAAAGCAGTGGGATTCAGAAAGACCTATCTTGAACTAAGAGAGCTATAATGTTCATAATTTATCACTCTAGTACCTTTTTGTATAAATCAGAAGATATTTAGGATACTTGGGGTAATTTTATGTGACACATTTTAGGAGATCATTGGCTAGCCTGATAAAGATCCCTTAGGAGAGTTATTAGTTATCTTGTTAAATGATTTAAAAACCTAAGAGGCTCAGAATAGTTTCGTAAAACTAAGGCTTGAGAGTCACATCCCAGGTTGCAGCTGCAGTACAGATGTGAAACATTCAGATTCAACATAGCATAGAACTATGTTTATATGACAGGGTGATGGGCCTTCAGGGAAGTTTATCCCTTAACATTGTAACTACCTAATGGTAATAAGTTGCTTATAGATTTTAGAGCCCATGGCTTTATGATGCTGACTGAGATGACTTAAAGGAACGTATGGGTAAGTTCATAGCTACTTAGAATTCTAACCTTAGGGAGTCTTGTGCTACAGAAAACTTTGATCTAATGTGGTTCCACCTCTTCTGTTCCGGTCCCTGCCTTGTCAGTGGCCTTGAAAAACAACCTCACAAGCAGATGGATAAAATTTGTAGTCAGAAGAAGATCCTGCAACATTTAGGTCTTGAGTTCTTCTTCCAGAAGAACCATGGGCTCTCAGTTGGAGTAGGTTTCTTGGGTCTTGTCCACACTCACCACCAACCCTTGCTTGAATATCTTAGCCACAGGGGCTAAAGAGATATAGGATTACAAGTCAAAGAACCTTTCCTCCCTACTCAGTATAATAGTGACTCTAGACATGGCAGTTTTTCTCTATGTACTCATCAGTTCTCTAGCAGATACTAGCCAGAAGTCCTGAAATTCAGTCCTGAAACTCACCTACTTTTGGAGAGTATCAGATTCCACTGGGCTAATGGTTTGTTTAAACAAGAGAAATCCCCACCCTTCTGCTTTGGATACCAGTTGCAAGTTAGAGGATGTCCCTATACTTCCAACCAATTAGGGTCAGAAATTGGAGTTCCCAGGAGGCTCTGCTCAGATTCAACTAATTGCTCAAAGTAGCTAAGAACTTTCCACCTAGGTTCAGATTTTTTCTATATATATTTTTATTGTAAAAATACTGTGCAGAGGGGTTACAGTTACTTGAGTAGGGTAATGAGTACATTTCCTATCGAGCATTTGTTACCTTCTCCTTTGTTTTTCCCGTACCATCCCTTTCCTCCCCACCTCCCCAACTCCATCCCCCCTGAAATTATAAAGTTCATTTTCAACATAGTGTCTTGTACATCTAGGTTTAGAGTTTTATTACTGAGAATATTTTAAAGACAACCAATGAACAGT